GGTAGGGGAAAAAATTGCAGTTGTCAAGTTATCTATTTAAACTTTTCAGCTACACTAATTAATGACAAGCTGACACAGTAAACAGACAACAACCTAGGATGAACCCAAAATACTTAAAATTTTCGATAATGTAGATTTTTTTAAATGTGGAAAATTATGCAGTACAATCTAGAGTTTAAAAGATTACACGTAAAAACATAAGCTCAAATTTTCTCGAAACGACTAATAGCTTGGAGTGTGAGGTTAAGTCCCCTCCCACTTCAATTTGGAGGTTCTTACGAAGAATAATTGGTCTATTTCTTCCGGTCAGTAAAAAGCAAAAATGAAAAATTACAGGAAATAGGTGAAAGTAAAGTCCTTAAAATTAAAAACCCTACCTTTTTGACTCCTTTATAAACATAAACATAGAGCTCCCGACCAAAATTGAAGCAGATCCTGTCTCCATTGCCAGAGGGATCCGGTAAATTTACAAACGACACTCGCACTGAAGCATTGCCCTGGGTGTTTGTGTATCCAACTCTATTCGGTCTAGAGTATTCCGATAAGGTCATTAGGCGGTAAGTTCCTTCTCTGGTGTAAAATTGTGTTTTTAACTCGTCTGGGTCACCCCCATCAGAAGAACCTCCATCTACTTGCACCGCCATTTTACATTTCCACACCGCTTCACGGCCCCCTGGACGACACCCACTACGTTGTTGTGGTGGTGCTAAAACTTTGGTTCCCAGTCTTCTTCCCTTTTCTTGATAAGAAACGCTCTGGCAATGCTGAACCAGGGTTCCGCAAATACTCCCTGACTCAACTCCACACCTGTTTTGCGACGAACTGTCATTATTTCAAACACAGTTTACAATTCAGCCAACTCCTTGACATTCTCTAGCATTATAAACATCTCTAGGTCTAAGAAAAGGATCAAACACAAAGCAATGAAGTTGTTTTGTGCTGCCACCTGTTGTTAAAGAAATGAAGCAGATCCCGACGTCACAAAGCGAAGAAGAAAGAAATGACAAGTTGGGTAAAATAAAAACAAACATGTGAAAAAAAAGAAGTCAGTCAGTGCAGACAGCAGTAAACTCAGAAGCAGAGGACTTGTGTTTGCGTCCCGAGCAGCTGACGGTATGTAACTCGATTTTGTTCGTAATTTTTCTATAGATGTGTGTTATTTTCGTCAATCTTGTCTTGTTTCGTTGCGTTTCTCTTCTCTCATCTCCAGCACGATCCCTTTCTTGAGTCCACAGCAACAGTCTTTTGCTCATTGACTTGCACTGCAGTGACAGGAGTGTTTAGGAGACGGCGAAAGGTTATGGCGCCCTATACCGTCTTCTGAAGGCTCCCATTAAATGCAAGTTTCTGTCTGGCTGGGTTATCTTATTTGGTGTTAGGAGAGTTCTTGTTTCTGGTTTATGAATAACATCTCGAGTACAGCCTGTCGTACTTTAAGTGTCACTCCGTTGAGTAGAGGCGAAAGGATTACAATGTACTGTTACGCTACATTATCGTTGTTCCTAATGTTTAGCAGGATATGGGGTTTTATGTTTCTTCCATGAAATTACTTTTCAAGGTTACCGTGGTGTGTAAGGTTCTTAATTTATTACCATAAGCATTATCTGACCACTTTATCTTGCTGTTGTTAATTGATTGGTCCTCAAATACCTAAGCGAACTTTACCGTCAGATTTTTTTGTTTGTCCTGTGGTTGTCAAGTGACCCCTCATTTCATTCAGCATCGCTCTTGTGCCCCAGGTGTGTCTTTTTTGCCTAGCTGCTCTAATCTGGACTGTCACATCTTTTGCTATCTAATCATACGAGACATAACATGTCCCCTTTGTGTGCTTTCATTGTGCCCATCATAATTTCCCATTTGAACTGGTCGGACGGCGAACTTCCCTCCCGAAACGGTTCTTGTCCTGTCCGTTCCGTGCAATGCACTCCCCCGTCCTCCGTCCTGTGGGGTCTGCCGCCGGAGTGGGAGGGGAGGGAGGGCGAAGCATTGACTTTGAAACTGGTTGTGAGCGGAGCGAGTCTTGTCCAGACCGCTCCAGGTCCTGCCCAGTCCCCCGCCGCTGTCCCTCCCCAGGTTGGCTGCCCGACGAGGCACTCTGGGGCGGCCCAGACGGAGTCGTTGCGTCAGTGCTGGGCAGTCTGAGCGGCGTCTGGTTCAGTCCGGGCGTCCGGGCCGACGGAGCCCTGATTCCGACCCTCGCGCTGGAAACCGGAAGGAAACGACCCGGTCCGGTTTGAAACGCGGATACATTCGCGGACCCGGATGCAGACCACATGCCGACCGGCCGAAGCATCCCACTCCCAATTTCCTCAAGATTTTTCCATCGGGTATAGCTTTTGTTGGGAGTTCCCTCGTCCCCGGGTGTCCTCCTGCTCGCCGGGCGCTTCTCCTACCCGGCCTGGTCGGAGAGGGGATGGGACATGCCTGAGGCCGCTGCTGACTCACCTCCGCGCTTGTTGGCTTTTGAGCAGACAACAGAATGAAGGGTGTTCTCCGCCCTTTTTACAAATTTTGGCAGAGTTGGCGTGGAGGGAGGGAAGGGCCGCAAAAGTGGATCAGATAAAGCGCACCGCCTGCCGCGCCGGAGGAGGAGGAGGAGCGGCGGGCGGTTTCGTGGAGACCAAGAGCGTTTTCTCAGTCGGGGCTGGAGCGTCTCGAGAATCTGCTTTCAAAGTCAGCAGCGGGTGTGTGGTCAGTCCGTGTGCGCATTGCGAGAATCTGCATTTCAAAATCAGCAGCGAGTGTGTGGTCTGTGTCGCTGTGTGTTTGTCCGTCCGTTCGGAAGGAAGTGGAGGGGGCAGGACAGGGAAAGCCCGGAGCCTGGCTATAAGCCTGTCCCGCCGCGGCCCCGCGGCCCGGGCCTGATGCCCCCAGCCCAGCCGCGCGCTGCACTTGTTGGCGTCCGGACGCCCATGTACGAGATTTGCGCTCTTCAGCAGTTGTTGATAAGGACTTCCTTTGGTCGTGGTGGTGTTGGTTGGCGGCGTGGCCCAAGCCCCAAGCGCCTCAACGAGTCCGAGTCCGGGCCGGGTTTGCAGCAAAGCTCCCGCACGTGTGGTCCCGCCCGCCCCGCCTCGCCTCGTCCGAGTGGACGTGAGGGACCCATGGAGGGACCGGCGCGGCCTGCGCCCGTCTCATCTCATATGTATGGCGCGGACCGCGCGCAATCTGTGTGTGACCTTAATAAC